CACTATATTGCTACAGCGTTACACCCGTATAACAGCATTCAAATAAATGTAATTATGTCAGGCAAAACTGAAGGATGCTGCGGGGAATCAGAGCTTATATATTTGGTTACTTTTCAGGTAAGTTAATTCCAGAGATATGTGCTTTTAATATTAAGTGTCCGCTATAAAACATGAAATTCTGCATCTGAATTTTCAACAGTGCAAATATCAGAGTACTGGAGGTGCACTCTAATCAACACTTAGACATTCTCCAATCAGTTAACTTTCAATGCTAGGGGGCAGGTATGAAGAAAGTGAATAAGAAAAAGTTATTTACTTGTTTTCATAACATAAGAATTAGGCATCACCAAATGAAACAAACAAAGGTTTAAAGGTTTAAAACAAACAAAAGGAGTTTTTCTTCACACAGCACACAGTCAATCTGTGGAATTCCTTGCCAGAGGATGTTGTGAAGACCAGCACTTTAACAGGGTTCAAAAAAGAATTTGATAAATTCATGGAGATTAGGTCCATCAACACTCATTATCCAGAATGGGTAGGAATGGTTTCCCTATCAGTGACATCTGATTAGCCAATAAGAATTGCTTGGGTCACTCCTCATTGAATTTTGAATATTTATCAGAGGCTGGAAATGGATGAGAGGAGAAGGATCACTTGATGATCTGGTACCTATTATGGTCACTCCCTCTGGAACATCTGGCATTGGCCACTATTGGAAGACAGGATGCTGGACTAGATAGACCTTTGCTCTGACCCAGTATTGCCATTCTTATGTTCTTATTTGTTTTTGTGACAGAATAGCTCAAAGGACCGTGATGGTATTGTTTTGCCTGTTTCCTATGATTGCTATTCTTATATTTAGCTAATCGTAGATCAAAGGATGCATTAGCCTTTAGATAAGAATTTACTTCATGTGTAAAACTACATAAAAACTAATGAAGGATTGTTACTGGCTATCACATTGTTCGTGAAAATAAGGAAAATTGTCTGGATGACTGTAATTAAAATGCATTATATTTATGTCTTTGTAACTGGATTGCCCAGTAATGGCGATTGAAGTCTTACAACTGTAAAGATGCATGCTAACTTGAAAGTGTGGATTGTTGCTTTCAGCAATGGGAAACCTACTAAATTCAGTTTTTATGGGAACATGCGCCAGAATCCTTTCTAGGGAACAGAGTTATAAGAATGAACCCAAGGAGCAATCTGTTATCTCTGGACTGATGGGTCCCCAAAGATATGTTAGGTAACCCTAAGAAACTTATGGAAAATCAGAAGATTACTATACTTCTGCTAATCATTTGGATTTACAAGCTCTGATTCACGTGTCATCTATTTTACCTGCTTAAACCTCTCAATTACTCTTTTCTATTTCTTAGCTAATAAATCTTTAGTTTGCTTCCTAGAAAAGTAGTCTATAACATTGACATTGGTGTGAGACCAAAAGCATACATTGACCTGGGGTAAGTGACTAGTATTTTGGGTGGGTTCAGGACTGAGGTAGTGACTTGATGTTGTTGTTTTAATAAACTTTCATCCAAAAGTCCAGATTATCTGAGTGATAAAAAAGGGTTGTGTGGCTCCAGTGTAAGACTAATGTAATGATGCAGGGGTGCATGCTTGTTACTGGTTTGGTGAAGTCTAGTTATAGATTATTCCACTATTTTGAGGCATCTGCCCTCTTTTTTGACAGACTGTCCTGAAATTGGTTCTTTTAGTTGTGAGTTACCCAAGACATCATGACAAAGATAAATAGAAAGGGGATGGGGCAAGGACAGACAAGGTTTACAGTAATTAGATATAATTAACCAAACTAATACTTTTCACTGAGATTCTTTCATGACATCTTGACATAAGTTATCTACTATATATTTGACAGAGTGCCAAGGCTGTTCCTCCTCTCTGGCCCATATAATGCAGAAGGTGAGGGCCCACAAGAGACTTTAAAAATATCCTGCCACTAAAGGCTTCAGCCTAAAAACTCTCCAAGGTCACAGATTTCCTGATCTTTGGTGGTATACTGCAACTACCCAAGTGCAAAACTCCTTTTCCTAAACCAGGAAGACCCACTTGGGAATTTTGGCCTCCGGGGTACCCCAACCTCTTTTACCCTCCCTCAGGAAAGAGCTTGAAAACAAACTGTAATTTCTAATAGCTGACCTCTCAGTCTCAGGCTCATGCACACAGACCCTCCTGCCTTGTAGGATAAGGAATCAGACCATAGTCTTAAAAAGGGTGATTTTATTAATAAAACAAAAAAGACATACTTGGTAAAGCATACTTGGTAAAGCAACTGAGAAAAATTGATTAAAACACAGATAATTGCTTCCCTGGTATTCAGCTTTAGTTACAGTTATGGGGGTTTATCACAGAGGAGATTAACCAAACCAAAAAAAAGAAAAGAAAAGAACCTAATTGCATCTAACTAAACATTCTCTTTCCACTTACATATCCTTTGTTGCAGGGTTCAGTCTTTCCTTAGCCATAGATACCACTAAAAAAATCCATGCCTTTGTTCCTAGTTCAGTCCATCTTTCTCCCCAGCTCCTGCTCTAAACTCACACACAAAAGGAAAATTGAAACAGGCAAATCTTGTTTCATTTCGAAATCTTTCATTCTTTTCCCATTGGCTTCCCTGGCTACCTGGCAATACTTCCTGGACACCCAATAACAGGCAATTTAGTTACTGACTGCTGGGATGTCTGGGAAAGGGTAATACCCCTTCCATCAATCACAGAGAGTTTGTTTGTCCATGAGCAAGCAAGCAAATCGGTCTGTCCATCTATTTGTTCAAGAATTCCTCCTAAACAGTAAAAGCTAAGACCATCAGATTTGATAGGCAGTTTCCTCTTATCATAACTTAAAGCAAGGTAAGGGTTTGGTGGGGGGTGGGATGGCTGAAGCTCCCCCTCTTTCTCCCCCCGGTGGATACAGGAATGCATAAAAACATACAGAAAAGACGGACAGAATCACCAGCAAGTGAAAGGGG